TTGGGTTTCTATGCAGAGTATCATGTCATCTGCAAAGAGGGAGAGTTTGACTTCTTCTTTGCCAATTTGAATACCTTTTATGTCTTTTTGTTGTCTGATGGCTGAGGCTAGGACTTCCAGTACGATGTTGAATAGCAGTGGTGAGAGTGGACATCCCTGTCTTGTTCCTGATCTTAGGGGAAAGGCTCCCAGTATTTCCCTGTTGAGAATGATATTTGCTGTGGGCTTTTCGTAGATGGCTTTTAAGAGGCTGAGGAATGTTCCCTCTATCCCTACACTCTGAAGAGTTTTGATCAGGAATGGATGCCGTATTTTGTCAAATGCTTTCTCTGCATCTATTGAGAGGATCATATGGTTCTTGCTTTTTCTCTTGTTGATATGATCTATCACGTTGATTGCTTTACGAGTGTTGAACCAGCCTTGCATCCCGGGGATAAACCCCACTTGGTCATGGTGAATAATCTTAATGTACTGTTGGATCTTATTGGCTAGTATCTTGTTGAGAATTTTTGCATCCATGTTCATCAGGGATATTGGTCTGTAATTCTCCTTTATGGTGGGTTCTTTGTCTGGTTTTGGAATTAAGGTGATGCTGGCCTCATAGAACAAGTTTGGAAGTACTCCATCCCTTCTATCTTTCGGAACAGCTTTAGTAGAATAGGTATTGCTTCTTTTAAACGTTTGATAGAATTGCCCTGGGAAGCCATCTGGCCCTGGACTTTTGTGTCTTGGGAGGTTTTTGATGACTGCTTCAATTTTCTCCCCGGTTATCAGCCTGTTCAGGTTTTCTATTTCTTCCTGTTCCAGTTTTGGTAGTTTGTGGTTTTCCAGAAATGCGTCCATTTCTTCTAGGTTGCCTAATTTTTTGGCGTGTAGCTGCTCATAATAAGTTTTTAAAATCGTTTGTATTTCCTTGGTATTGGTGGTGATCTTTCCTTTTTCATTCATGATTTTATTCATTTGAGTCTTTTCCTTTTGTTTTTAATAAGGATGGCTAATGGTTTATCTATCTTTTTAATTCTTTCAAAGAACCAACTCCTGGCTTTGTCGATCTGTTCTACAGTTCTTCTGGTCTCTATTTCATTGAGTTCGGCTCAAATCTTTATTAACTCTTGTCTTATTTGCTGTTCTTTCTCCAGTTCCTTTAGGTGTGCGGTTAGCTTGTGTATTTGAGTGCTTTCCAGTTTTTTGAGGGTTGCTTGTATTGTGATGTAGTTTCCTCTCAGGCCTGCTTTGGCTGTATCCCAAAGATTTTGAACTGTTGTATCTTCATTCTCATTAGTTTCCTTGAATCTTTTTAATTCTTCTCTAATGTCTTGGTTGACCCTTTCATCTTTTAGCAGGATGCTCTTTAACCTCCACGTGTTTGAGTTTCTTCCAAATTTCTTCTTGGGATTTAGTTCCAGTTTCAAAGCATTATGGTCTGAAAATATGCAGGGGACAATCCCAATATTTTGGTATCGGTTCAGACCTGATTTGTGACCCAGTATGTGGTCTATTCTGGAGGAAGTTCCATGTGCACTTGAGAAGAATGTGTAGTCAGCTGCGTTTGGATGTAAAGTTCTGTAAATATCTGTGAAATCTATCTGGCCCAGTGTAACATTTAAAGCTCTTGTTTCTTTGGAGGTGTTGTGCTTACAAGATCTGTTATTTGCAGAAAGCGCTGTGTTAAAGTCTCCCAGTATAAGTGTATTGTTATCTAAGTATGCCTTAACTTTGGTTATTAATTGATTGATATACTTGGCAGCTCCCCCATTAGGTGCATAAATATTCATGATTGTTAGGTCCCCTTGTTGGATAGATCCTTTAAGTATGATATGGTGTCCCTCTTCATCTCTTACTACAGTCTTTGGGATAAAGTTTAATTTATCTGATCTAAGGATGGCTACCCCAGCTTTCTTTTGAGGAACTTTGAATGGTAAATGGTTCTCCAGCCTTGTATTTTCAGGCTGTAGATGTCCTTAGGTCTAAAATGAGTCTCTTGTAGACAGCAAATAGATGGTCTTGTTTTTTTTTTTTTATCCAGTCTGAAACCCTGTGTCTTTTGATGGGATCATTAAGCCCATTCATGTTCAGAGTTACTATGGAAAGATATGAATTGAGTGTCATCATAATACCGATTCAGCCCCTGTTTTTGTGGATTGTTTCCTTGGGCATCCTCTTTCTTTCACAGAGTGTCCCTTAATATTTCGTGCAGAGCTGGTTGGTGGTCACATATTCTTTCAGTTTCTGCCTATCTTGGAAGCTTTTTATCTCTCCTTCTATTCTGAATGAGAGCCTTGCTGGCTAAAGTATTCTTGGCTGCATGTTTTCTCATTTAGGACCTTGATATATCCTGCCAGCCCTTTCTGGCCTGCCAGGCTTCTGTGGAGAGGTCTGCTGTTAATCTAATATTTCTCCCCATATAAGATAGGGAACTCCTGTCTCTTGGTTCTTTAAGGATTTTTCTCTTTATCTTTGGAAATTGCAAGTTTCATTATTAAATGTTGAGGTGTTGAAAGGTTTTTATTGATTTTAGACCTCTCTATCTTCTGGATCTGAATGCCTGTTCCCTCCCCTAGTTAGGGAAGTTCTCAGCTATGATTTGTTCAAATATGCTTTCTGGCCCTCTGGCCCTCTTGGCACCCTCTGGAACCCCAATTATACGTAGATTTTTCCTTCTGAGGCTACCATTTATTTACCTTAACCTTTCCTCATGGTCTTTTCATTGTTTTTCTCTTTTGTCCTCAGCTTCCTTCCTTGCCATCAACTTGTCTTCTATGTCACTCACTTGTTCTTCTACCTCGTTAACCCTCGTCATTAGGACCTCCAGTTTGGATTGCATCTCATTTAATTGATTTTTAATTTCAGCCTGATTAGATCTAAATTCTGCAGTCATGAAGTCTCTTGAATCCTTTATGCTTTTTTTCCAGAGCCACTCGTAGCTTTATAATTATGCTTCGGAATTGGCTTTCTGACATCGAATTGTAATCCAAACTCTGTAACTCTGTGGCAGAGAGTACTGCTTCTGATTTTCTTTTGTGATGAGTTTTTATTTCTAGTCATTTTGCTCTGTGCAGAGTGGTTGTGAGTGGACTGAGTTAAGAATATCAACCACGACCTAAGTAAATTTCACCCTAGGTGATTCTGCCAAGGTCAGAGACCAGAAATTGAAAACAAAGATCCGAATGAAATAAACCAAAAGGACCACTAAAGTGAAAAACAAATTTTATAACAAAGTAGTAAAAAATAAAAGGTTAGGAATCCTAAAGAAGAGAGGGGAAAAAAGAATAGAAAAGAAAAAGGAAAAAGGAACATAAAGGAGA